TCAAGAAAAGGTTTCTACTGCTCGAACGCCGTTTGTGCCGTAATACTGAATTGAAGCAAATTTATGAGAACTTTATAAAGGAATATGAAGATTTGGGACATATGTCGCGCGTAGTCGATGTTGAGTTAAGCAACCCATATTTTGTGATACCACATCATTGCGTCATGCTACCAGATAGTACAACAACAAAGTTGCGTGTAGTTTTCGATGGCTTTATTCAACAGGAACTTATTAGAACGCTTTTGTCTTTTCATTTGCATCGGTTTGCGATCACAGCCGATACATCGCCAATTCTTGTCGAAAAGGATGATCGGAAGTTTCAATTAATTATTTGGAAATGAGCCACTTCAAATGCTCGAGTTCAATACCGTTACTTATGGTTTAGCACGGAGCAGATAGCCTAAGTGAATTACAACAGATAAAATCAGAAATAATCGAAATTTTTTATTGTCAGCAGGTCTAAACCTCACAAAGTGGAGCACAAGCTGTCCTCACGTTCTTTATCATCGAATGAAGAGTTTGTCATCAAAAGCAACGACTCAATTAGTTTTCGAAGCGATTTACCCGAATCGATACCTTCCACAAAACGAGGTATTTGTCCATTCTCGCTAGAATTTTCTACTGGGCTTACTAAGTCCAATCGTTATTAAATGTAGATAAAAGAGCTGAAATGGGATGAAGGGCTGCCGCCAGATTTAATGATGATGTGGCTCAACATTAAATCCCACTTTTCCTACACTAACAGATTTTAATTACCCCGATACGTTTTGAAGCCTTTCTCTTTAAGCAGCGAGATTCATGGGTTTGCGGATGCGTCTCAACGCGCATACGGATGCTGAGTATATGTACGTACATATATGAATGATATGTACAAAACAACATTATTGATTTCCAAATCTAAAGTGGCACCTATTAAGGTTCAATCTCTACCACGTTTAGAGCTACAGTGAAACCCGCTTAAGTACTTAACCCGCTTAAGTTCCCAATATTATTGGGCACCGTGAATTTTTTAATGTATTCTGAAGAAAATCGCTCTTTTAAGTACCTCCCGCTTATGTACCCAACCCGCCTAAGTACCT